CCAGGTGGTTTGGTCCATACTAGGGAAGCTCTCTTAAGGAGTTTCTCCACATATTAATTGATACTCGTGCTGGGTTCCCTGAGGTTTTCCTCATGAGGAGCATGCGTAACTGTACAATCAGGATGGCATCCCCTACACTTATTAGCTCTGTCCTCTATTCTGGTGCCTTTGCTAGGAAATCAGATTTATTTTCCTCTAAACATGGTAATTATCTCCCTGCACCATAGGATGTGGTTCTATTCAGGCAAGGATTTCTCTGCCTTGTTAATATGAATCATTTTTAGATGGTCCTTTGGTAACAAGTTTATCATCACTAACTTTGCTTACTAGGAACTTCTCATTGTTAAAATCAAGTTCAGAGTGACTTCTAAGGATGCTGAAGAATTTTCTACGGTATTTTAGTGGCACTGAGATTTCAATGAAATTTCTAGATTGTTGGGTGTCCCTTAACCCCTTCTTCTTGCATATGTGCCAATTTTATGATGTGTATTTTCAAAGCATCATCAATTTTCTGGGTTTTGCCAGGGAGACTATATAGACTGTGCATACCAGGTGAGCTCACGCATCCATCTTTCCTTCTGGGTTCATCTATGGGTATGTTTTCCATTGTGGAAGAAGGCAGGAAAGGCGGGCCGTGGGGACTAAATTCAGACAGATGAGCATTCGTATCATTCCTGTTCTGGTAAACTAGCTGCAGGGTTTTCTAGTGTAGCCTCGTTTAGCACTACTCAGAGATTTCAAGACATTAAATAAAATTCTTTTCTTTCCTGTATTTTATCAACAGCATATCGACAAATTTATTGAGGGGGAAATTTACATGCATAGTCATATACCCATCAAGATTACGGTTTTATTCATCTCATAATAATTTTTTTATATTTAAAATTCTGGTTGCCACAATACACTCCTATGTCCTCCACTACAATGTTGCATGTGACCAAGAACTGGGTGTCCTTATATTCTTCATATAGTATATTTCACAGATAAATATGATACTTTCAGTCTTTGTAGCAATTTTTTTCTTCCTCATTTGTTAGGGTTGTCTATCTTTAAAAATGTGTTGACTTTTGTAAAAGACTCTTTTTTTCCCACAAATTGAGGCATTTTAAAGATTATTGAACCCTATAAAGTATATTTGAATAAAAGCATTTACTTAATATTGCAATTTTAGACCAACTTTGCATTTCTGAAAATAAGCCCATTTGGGTTATTATGGCACTGGATTTGACTCATTTATATATTATTTAGGGTATATACTGAATTTGCATCCCACAAATTTATTTCCCTGTTTTCACTGTTTTTCTTTCCATCTTCTCTAATCAAGTCAATTCTAAATGAGCCCAAATTCCCTATGCTCCTCTGATCCAATTTGGTCTTGATGTGGCTGTCTGTACTAATGTTCCTGAAGGCATACCCGTGCCCTTACATACACTAGCAGTGTTAATGCAGAGGATGGTATGGGATTGTTCCATTGATCTGTTTCTGGTACACACCCATCATGGCAGAAATTCCAGGAAGATGATTTTGCCAAATTGCTGAGCTTTGTTATGTACTTAAAAAAAAAAAAAGATAACAAACTCCAGATCAATTTTCTCAAATTAATGCTTTGTTATTTCTAAACAATATCATGTTGCTCTGGAGAACATAGGTGAAGAAGTGACTTTAAACTCAAATGATAAGAGGAACTTCCTTGCAGGATAAGGGAGCATAGGCTCAGCCCCACTGAAAAGCTGAGAGAAAAGTGTCATTGGGAAGCACAATCAAGAAGATGGTGGTATCAGGTTGTCCCCAGATCAACTGAGACATAAAACAAAAGCACCCCTGTGATTCTTTGAAGAAAGACACACTACTCTGGGTATCACAAATAGACAAATAGACTGGAGAAAATAAAGGCCCTTAGTTACAAGAAAAATGATTATGCTTATATGATATGTGATAACACAATTAGCTCTTAAATGTCATGTAAGGCAGGAACAAAATGAAAGGGTTACACTAGCAATTAAGAAATATCACATTTTTGGCTGTAAACTCAGCAGCCACAAGATAAGAACATAGGAGAGATCAGATTGCCCTTAGAAAGAGGAAATTAAAGTGGTCAGGATTAGAAGAAATCACACTATCCTGGTTAAGGATTTTGTGATATCAAATGTGCATTTCTCAAAGGCAGTGGGATGGTCCATCACAGAAGTCAGTCTTGGGGGGCACAATGGAATAGTTGGCAGTGCCCTGTTAGCAAATCACAGACAAGAGTATGATTCCTTGATATTCCAGTTCCTTAGGCAAAACCAAGAATTTTTTTCTCATTGCCAAGATGTCAAAAACAGTAGAATACTATCCCAATATGGCAATAAATGCAATAATAAAATATTGTATTTGCATACTATTCAAACAGACTAAAGTCATTGACAAGGATGTGGAGAAATGGGAACCCCACTATGCTGGAGGAAATGTAAAATGGTGCAGGAGAATGAAAAAACAGTATGGAGGGACTTCATAAAAGCAGGCACAGAGACACCATAAGATCCAGCAGCCCCGTTTCAGGGAGTTTAGGTAAAAAAAAAAAAAAAAATGAAATCAGAATCTTGAAGACATTACATTCCAGTGTTCATGGCAGAACAGTTAAAGACAGCCAAGCCATGGAAGGAACCCAAATGTCCTTTGAGTGACAGTGGATCTAGAAAATGTGTCACAAACATACAATGGAATACCAGTCATATATAAAAGAGAAGGAAATCCTCCCCCTTGTACTAATATGCATGATAAGAATTCTAATGAGACTTGCAGACAAATTGCTGAGTTTCATTATTGAACTGGACCCATGTGAATAAAGTCCAGAGCAATATACTAAAAATTGATACTGGTTGCTTTTACACCACATGGTATTATCCTGGAGAATGTGAGTGAAGTAGGGCCTTTAGCCCTTAACTCAAATGATAAAAAGAGGAGCTTACCTGCAGGTTAAGTAAGCATCAGCTCAACCCACTTTGATGCTGGGAGAAAAGTTTCATTGGGAAACATGATCAAGAAGCAGGTGGTATCAGATTGTCACCCAATCAAATGACACATAAAACAAGAGAGTTCTTGCCACTCCTGGAACACAGAACTTTTACCAGGATTATAACTCTACATTGAAGATTTAGAGGCTCAAAGGCATTGAATTAGAAGCCTGATTTGTCAAAAATATATTTGGACTTGTATGACATGTTAATATCTTAATAGTCTGCAAACATTACATCAAGGAGGAACTCAAGGAAAGTTCACATGAACAAATCAGAAGCATCCCATTTGAGCTGAACTCTCAGGTGCCACAAGACAGGAAAATAAGAAAGAGGGGAAAGTGTAATTTCAAAGTAATTTAAAATATATACATAAAGTCATTGGAGTGGTCACTATGGAGATTTAGAGGTTTGGGGACATTGGGTAGGAAGAAATGGAAATGATGGCAGTGCCCAGTAGCTCATGGCACAGGGGAGAGACATTGTGCCTTAATCTTGTAGTTTCATAGGCAAGACAAAGAATTTTGTCCTGATTGCATGAGATGTTGGTAAGCAATGCATGTCATTCTAAACTTGCAACTGTTGCACCTCGGAATATTGTGTCTGTCTATGCTAGAAAGTACCCAATGGAGTCAGGGTTTTTACAAGGATGTGGAGAAATTGAAAGCCTGATATATTGGAGGGAATGTCAAATGGTGCAGGGACCTTTGAAATGAGTATGGCATTTTCTCACAGAATCAAACATAGAAATGCCGTATGACCCAGCAACCCTACCTCCAGGTGCTTGCTTGAAAGAATGAAATCAGAAACTTAGGGAGGCATCAGTACTCTCGCGTTCATGGCAATACTATGAATAATAGTAGCCACTTTGTGGAAGCCAGCACACCTGTCAGCTGATGGATGAATGGCTCAAGAGCTTTTGCCAGACACCTACAATGGAATAGTACTCAGCCTTAGAGAAGAAGAAAATCCTCCCCCTTGTTCTAATGTGGTTGAAACTTAGGATTCTCTCCTAAATGAACTAAGCTGGTCACAAAAGGCTATACACTAAAATATTCCACCTATATGAGGCATGTAAAAGAGTGTAACTCACATAAAGAAAGAATGGAGTTGTGGTTTCAGAGGGTGAAGGTAAGTTGAGGCAGGGAACAGAAAAACAATAGGTGTGATATTCAGATTTATTTCTTGGTTCTGAGGATCAAATCCAGTGATGTCTTACCACTGAGCCACATCATCAGTCATTTTTATTTTAATTTTCAGACAGGATCTTGCTACTTAGCTTAAGGTCTCGTTAAGTTGTGGAGGTTGGGCATGGACTTCCTGTCTCAACCTCCCAAGTCTCTGGATCATGGGCACGTGTCACTACTCAGCTGTTTGCAGACTATGTCAGTTACTCAAGATAAAGAACTTCTATGAAGCTCCAGTAAAGAGTGTGATGAAATAACGTGTTTTGCACCTAAAACGTATGAAACATAGGAGTCTCACGTCAGACATTATTAGCATAGGAGAATAAAGACAGACAATATGAATGAATAAAGTTCCAAAATTTTATTAATAATTTATAAAGGTTGTCTGTACCCAGGCCACTGAAGTTGATGTTGACAGGAGAAAGCAGCATTCAGGAATATAGAGAACAAGACAAAAAGAAACCATAACTGTAAAGATGAAGGAGCAGTTGCATATACCTATGAAATTCTTCTGGAAAAATTATTCCTATTTTCTTTAGATGAGAGGTAAACATCTTGGTCTCAGATTTTCAGCCATGACAACACTTTGCCATCAAAGATATATTAAGCAGACACAAAATGCACATGATCTAAGGAAGAAGAGGACAGGAGTGGAGAAGTCTGCACTCCCTTGAGGTGATTCACATGCTATTACAAGGGCGACTGTGAATTTCTGGTGACAGCTTGATGATCTTCAGCCAGGTAAGAAGAGAGTTCTTGCAGAAAAAGAAAGGCAGTTAACAGGAGTCTGTGCAAACCTTGGTCCTTAGGGGGTTGATCATGGGCAGCAAGGCTGGCAGCAGGTGTCCACACAGTAGCAGGGCTGGCAGCAGGTGCTGCAGCTGGGCTCACAGGTTGGTTTGCAGCAGGTGGTCCTGCAGCAGGTGAGTTCACAGCAAGTTGGGGGACAGCAGGGCTGGCAGCAGGGAATGATGCAGCAGCTGGGGCAGCAGCAAGGCTCACAGCAGCAGCTGGGCTCACAGCAGGGTGTGCTGCAGAAGCTGACCACACAGGTTGGTTTGCAGCAGATGGTCCTGTAGCAGGTGGTTTCATAGCAAGCTGGGGGACAGCAGGGCTGGCAGCAGCTGTCACAGGTGGTTTTAACACAGCAACTGGGTGGACAGCAGGGTGTGCTGCAGAAGCTGGTGACACAGGCTGGTTTCCAGCAGCTGGTCTTGCAGCAGGTGGTTCTGCAGCAGGTAGGCTTGCAGCGAGAGGAGCAGCTGGAATGGGCCATGGTGTGAGGTGTGGAGGGTGGGGTCCTGTTCAAAGGTGAGTGAGTTTGTACAATATGATGACTCCTTGCAATTGCGCTCTTTTATCCCAGGGGCCTCCAAAGTTGGACCAATCAGCAGCCTTTCACCTTGTTTTTGTTTATGTTATTTTCCATATTCAGTTTGTTAAGGAAGTAAATGGGATGAGTGTTGTGAAAGTGTTTAATCTGTTTCTTAAGAGGGCCTAACTCACAGGAACTGTTTCCAGATGAAAGGAAGACAGTCACCTCATTAGCATCTTTGTTGCTCTGAGCATCATTTGGGTCATGTGGTGGCTTCTGCTGCTCTGGGAGGGTCAGGGAAGTTGTTCCTCTGGAGATTTGTGTTTTGGAGCTGTATTCAGATTAGGAAGTGTCTATGGGAGGAGCTTCTGTATTCACAGAGATGAACAGAACACGTGTTTAACCAGGGCATCCTGACCAAAGGCTCCTAGAGGCATCTGTCTCTGTCCCAGCTCTCCCACCTGTGTGTCCCAGGTGTCTCCAAGGTACATCTTAAGAGGATGTTTGACATGTGGTTTTCCATAGCAGAGCAGAACCGGAATGTGAGAGCAGATGCAGCAGCAGTACATGGTGAAGAGCCAGGTGTGATGGGTGTGTGGATGACCATCTGTCCTGTTATCCAGTCCTGAGGGCACACCAGGATGAGCCTCTGGGACTCTCTGCCACACTAGCCCTGCAGACTATGCCAATCAGGATGAGCAGGTCACTGTGGTCCCCACCAGCATGCCAGCAGAGTCAGTGATCTTGGGTCAGGGATCTTTCTGTTTTTCCTGTCTCTGCCTCTCTGTTTCTTTCTCCTCCCTTCTCATCTATCTGTTGCTTTCTTGCCTTCTTTCTATTCCACCAGGAAATTATCTTAGGTGAGATGGTACCTAATTTTATCTGTGAGGACTCTTGTATTTAAAACGTTTTTTACTTCTACCATTCCATCCAAATAATGCATGTTATTACTTTCCCACTTGATATAATATCCTAATGTGAATGCATGCATGTCACTATTAGTGGGTTAGGAAACCGACATGAACTTTGTTCCCTACAAATCATAACCTCTCACTCATCCCCTAAGAGGGCAGATACCTCTCTTGACTTGTCGCCTTTTGGGGCAGTTTTGGCTTTTTTCAACTCTTAGGTTCTTTAGGATGGTAGAAGTATTCGATCTCCTTATGAGTGTGAGATTCATCAGCATAGTTATCTACGGTATGTTCTTTCTCAGTGCTGTAAAATTTCCACTGAGTGAAATTGACACAATTTATTTGTTGGTTGTCCTCTAGATGAGCATGTGGCTTTCTTTAAAAATTTTTCTTTATTGATATGTGGCTCGTATAAATGTTTTTGCACAGAGCCTGTGGTCATGCAAGTGATATTTCTGGTGGATACAATCCTGGGCATAGAATTGTTCATACAATTCTCATATTGAAAGATTTATTCTTTTCTTTGTGGCTATCTTATCCATGTTCTCTCAATTTTTTTTCTTCACCATTTTATTTTGGGGAGATTCATGCAGGTGGATTAGAGCTAGACTTTATTTCCCGTTGCTTGCTGGCTCAAGATTCAAGCAGAGAACGTACTTCTTATTAGCCAGTTGGGTGGATGAAGGAATTCTTTGTAATTCACCACTGAACAGTCAGACTCAGAAATTCAGATGCTTTGAACAATGAACTAGGAAGTGTGTAGCTTGTTGTGGTAACAGCACTGGTTTACTGCAGATAAGGGGGGGAGGGAGGGAGAGAGAGAGAGGGAGAGAGAGAGAGAGAAGGAGAGAGAGAGAGAGAGAGAGGGAGGGAGAGAAAAGAGAGAGCAAGAACGAGCAACATAGCAGGCAAATTTGGCACAGAAAAGCAACATGACGTTAGCTGATCCAGAGGCTGCACAGCCAACTGGTGTTTGGAAGGTGCTTTGTGTTTCATAACTAGTAAATGGAGAGCTGAGGAAGGAGTCATCTTGAGGAGGCCATGCTGCAGCTTGCTTGTGCAGTAGCTAGGAAGACCATTGCAAACCTTGGGGTACAGTCCAGCCAAGCACCTACCACCTCTTTTCCTGGAGTCTGGTGGCTCATGTGACCAGCTGAAGCTGAAAGGTAGGAGTGATCACTTTCAGGAATTCAGTCTGGGAAGGCTTGGGCAGTGGAATGTGTGAGAACTGAGAATGGTTGGCTCCCCTGCTCTGTGAATATTGTTATCAGGGGCTCTTGATATCCAGGTTCCCAGCATCTATCAGCATCTGTCCAGTTCTAGGGGTGTGTTGATCTAATCTCTATAGAACAGATGTCTCCAAAAAATTCTCTAAAGCTTAATTAGAGCTAAGCCCCAGCCACAGGACCTCCCCACTTAGAGCTCTGTAGCAGCCTTGATCAGCAATGCTCTGATTATTCTACATTTTTCAGTCAATGTGATGAAAAGTCTGGAGAACGTTCCAATGTTAGAACAACCTTGAGTTTATGAAAACAATTTAATGTGGTCACGATCACATGCATATGAGACACTGGATTTCACTCAGTTCTATTCTCAGCAGGATCTATTCTGATTGGCATTCTACAAATTTATTCTTTCATTCCCACTGTGTTTCCTCCACCTTCTCTCAAGAAGTGAGTTTCAAAGGAGCTGAGATCGCTACTCGCTCTTGACATAATTTGGCCTCAATGCAACTCCATGTCCCGCACTTCTGAAAGCTCTCTCCTGCCAGTAGAATGCGCAATGTCAGTGTTCTGACAACGCCTGGGCAAAGAGATCTACAGTGTTGTTTTCATTTGGTGCACTGGGAAACTCCAAGCCTTCTTTTCTGAAGCACACACCATGGGGAGGAATTCTCAGGAGTCCCTTGAATACAAATTGCTAGTTTCATATCACCTGAGCATAGTTCAATCCATTTATTAAAATGATAATTGCCATTTTCTAGACCAAGATTGTGTCATTCTGCAGAACATGAATGAGGAAGTGCTATAAATCCTCAACTCAAATGATTGAAAGAGTAATTTACTTGCAGGATAAGCGAATATTGGCTCAACCCACTGAAGAGAAGCAGGGGAGGTTGTCACTGGGAAACATAATCAGGAAGCTGGTGATACCAGTTTGTCTCATGTGAACACAGACTTTTCACTGGGCTTATATCTCAGTTGTGAATTTGGAGGCTCAAAGTATTGAAGCAGATAACACTAATGAACATGAAAATGTAGCTGGATTTGTAATACATGTCATATCCTAAAGGACTCTACATGTTATGTCAAGGGAAAATTTGCACAAAGAAATTGGGGGCATCACATTTTGAGTTGACCACTCAGGTGCCACAAGACATGCCACCTAGGGAGAGGAGGTCATTCTTGGAATGTGGAACTTCAAAGTGACATTAGCAGGAGCAGAGTCCATTCATTGAGGGAAAGAGAAAGATTGGCTTCAAGATTATCAGCATTTCCCTAGCTTGGTTGAAAATTTTGTGAAAATGAATATTTCTTTTTAAAGACAGTGGGATGGCCCACCATAGACATTTAGAGACATGACCGTGACAGAAAGGAAATGTTGGCAGTGTCTAGTTGAACATAGCACAGGGTTGGTACACTATTCTTTGATTTTGTAGTCCATTAGGCAAGACAAAGTGTTTTATCCAAATTGCATGAGATGTCAGTAAACAGAGGCATATCATCCTAACATTGCAATCATTGTAGTATTGGAATATTGTTTCTGGATATACTACAAAGTACTGAATGCAGTAAGGGTTTTGACAAGGTGGGAGAGAAATTAGAAACCTGCAACAGGGGAGAGAATTTCTCATGATTCAGAAGCCATGGAAATTAGTACAGAGTTTCTTGAAAAAATCAGCCATAGATATACAACTCAATCCAGCAATCCTACCTCCAGTTACCTAGGGGTTGATAAATGGGATGATAAACTTGAAATGATATCGGCACTCTCAGGTTCAAGGCAGTATTGTGAACAACTGCAAGGTGGGTGTGGAAGCAATCCTAACATCTTTTGGTGAAGAAATGGATAAAGAAAATATGGCAGACACACACTGGAATATATTCAGGCTTAAAAGAGAAGGAAATCGTTCCTCATATACTAATGTGGATGAACTTTAGCTCTCTCTCCCTTCAATGAACTAGACCAAATATAGAAGGACAAACAACATGACTCTACCTATATGAGGAATGTAAAATAGGTCAACTTAGATAAGAAAAAAATGGAGTGGTGGATTCCAGAGGCTGGAGTCGGTGGAAGTAGGGAGATGCCTGTCAATAGGTATGCCATTTCAATTATGCAAGATGAGCAACTTCCAGGGATCTGTGGTACTGATTGGATATAGTGACAAATTATCTTTCAGTTAAAAATCTATTAAGCATGTGATTCTCACATCAGGGGTTCTTAGTGTAGAAAATAAAGACAGACATAATGGAATTAATATTTAGTATTTATTAAGAATTTCTGAAGGATGGTTGTACCCAGGGAGGCATCTAAAGGTGACAATGACAGGAGAACATAGTATACAGGAATCTGGAGAAGAATACCAAAAAAAATGATAACTGTAAAGTCAAGGGACAGTGGCACACAGCTGTGGAATTCTGAATATGTGTATTCCTGTGTTTCTTAGATGGAGAGGTAAAGTTCTTGGTTTTATAATTTTAACCAAGATCACACTTCCCCATCAAGGATTGTGAAGCAGGGTCAAGATGCACAAGGCATAAGGAAGGAGAGGAAGAGATTAAAGAGTCTGCATTCTCTCAAGGTCATTCACAGGGTCTTATGTTAGAGCCAGTGAATAGAATTTCTGGTGCCAGTATGATAGTTTTCAGTGAAGGTTAAAAGAAACTTCCTGCAGGTTAGGAAGAGTTTATGCAGGCAAACTTTGGGGAATTGATCATGGGCAGCAAGGCTGACAGAAGCTGCACACACAGCAGAAGGGCTGGCAGCAGGGTGTGCTACAGCAGCGGGTCACATGGGATTTTTTGGAGCAAGTGGTCCTGCAGCAAGTAGTTTGAGAGCAAGTAGGAGGGCAGCAGGGCTGGCAGCAGGGAAAGACACAGCAACTGGGGCAGCAGCAAGGCTCACAGCAGCCAGGTTTACAGCAGGATGTGCTACAGCAGCTGACCACACAGGTTGGTTTGCAGCAGGTGGTCTTGCAGCAGGTAGTTTCACAGCAAGTTGGGGGACAGCAAGGCTGGCAGCAGGTGGTCTTGCAGCAGGTGGTCCTGCAGCAGGTAGGCTTGCAGCAAGAGGAGTGGGCCATGGTTTGAGCTGTGGAGGGTGGGATCCTGTTCACAGTGAGTGAGTTTGCACAATATGAGGACTACTTGAAAATCGGGCTCTTTTATCCCAGGAGCCTTCAAATTTTGAACCAATCAGCAGCCCATTTCCTTCTTGTTGTTATTGATATTTTCCGTATTTGGCTTGTGTTTGTCTACAAAAATTTGCTATGCAAATGTGATGAGTATTGTGAACGTGTTTAATCTATTTCTTAAGAGCATGTAACTCACAAGAACTGTTTCCAGATGAAAGGAAGACAGTCACTTCATTAGCATCCTTTGTGCTTTGAGCATCATTTTGGTCATGTGGCTCCTACTGCCCTGGGGGGTCAGCTCTTGTTCTAGAATATTTTTTGCTTTGTCTGTATTCAGATTAGGAAATGTCTATGGGAGGAGCATGATGCTGCTGTATTCACAGTGAGGAAGCACACATGTGTTCATCCAGAGGATCCTGACTCAAGGCTGGTTGAGGCCTCTGCCTCTGTGCCAGGTCTTCCACGTGTGGAAGAGGATGATTGGCATGTGATCTTCCATAGCAGAACAGGACCAGAAAGTGAGGGTAGAAGCAGAAGGGATGAGACAGGTATGGATGGATGTGTGGGTGGCCATAGGTCCTATTTTATCATCACGGAGGGCTCCCCAGGATGACCCTGTGGGACTGTCTTCCACATGAGCTTTGCAGACCCAGGAAAACCAGGATGAACAGGTGAATCTGTTTCTCATCTGGGCACCAGTGGACTCTGTGATCCTAGGTCAGGACTTTCCTCTGTCTTTCCCTCTTTCCTTTCATCCATGTCTCTTGTCTCTTTCTCTCCCCTCTTTTCTCATTTCCTGTGCTGCTTTCTTGCCTTCTAATCAATTTCATGAGGGGATTAAGATTAGGTGATATGGTACCTGATTTATCTACGAGGACTAATGCATTTGGAAATATATTTAGGTCTCTCATTTTATCCCAGAGGAAGCAATTTATGAGTTTCCAGGTTGGTAATATACTTTAAAGTGAATGCATCCCTGCCACTGTCACCAGGTTAGGAAATAGAAATGAACCCATTGCCTACAAACTACACCCTCTCACTCATCCCCAAAGGGAGCTAGCTAATCATTCTGTTGACTTGTAATCTTGGTCAATTTTTGTTTTTCTCCATTTTAGGGTCATCAAAAGAATAGAGTAGGTAGGTCTCTATGTTAGGAGTGTGCCACTCATTATATGATTCTCTTCAGGTTGTTCATTCTCAGTGTGTAATATTTACACTGAAGAACTTGACACAATTTGCTTGTTTGTTGTCCTCTAGATGAACATGTAGCTTGTCTGTAGCTTGGGACTACTCAAATTTGTGCTGCTATGAGTGATTTTGCAGAGTCTGGGCTCACATGTATAAACATTTCTGGTGGAGACACAACTAAGTATAGGATTGTTTATAGAATTCCCAGGTGGAAAGATTTATTCCCCTCTTTGTGGAGGTCTTCTCCACATTTCACTGGATTTCTCCTTAGATATATTATTATGTACACACGTTGCATGTTCCAGTTCAAAGCTTAAATTTTCACTGCATCAGAAGTATTGACAATGTTCCAATTTCTTGTGTGTTCCTTATATTCGAACACTCTGATGATTTCTAGTACCACATTGTAGGTTTTTTAGGGGATGGGCAAATGGTCAGACAGTCATGTCATGAAAAAGGACATTCGTTTGACTCACTTTAGCATAGTCTTTCTATTTTGCATTTTTCTTGCCTTGGCCCAGTGGTAGACCATCTAGTACAACTGTGTAGCAGATGGGTACTTTTGTACAATCTCAGTATAGAAAGGAGAGCTCTCAACATTTCCCATTACATGTGGTCCTCCTTGTCTTTTAAAGTTCTGGTAGAACTCAATTGAGAATTGATCTGTTCCTGGACTATTCTTTGTTGAAAGGCTTTGAATTGCTGCTTCAATCTTAATGCTCAATATTGGCCTTCTTAGGTTTTCTATATCCTTAGTTAAATTTGGCTAGATCATATGTGCCTAAACATGTTAACATCTTACATATTTTCCAGCTTATTGAAGTATTATTTTCAAAATAGGTCCTAATGAGCATCTGTATTACAGAAATATCTTTGGTTATATCTCCTTTTCATCTCTCATTTTGTTGATTTAGTTCTTCTCTTTCTTTTGGCGAGTTTGGTTAAGATTGTATCAATTTTATTTACCTTTTAAAAGAATTAATTCTTTGGTGCAGTGATCTTTGTAATTTTTTAAAAGTATCAGTTTTATTACTCATCTATATTATTTGCTGTCTTTTATAGGTTTTTAGAATTTGTTTATTTGTGCGTTTCTAGTGTCTGGAGATGTAACATTAGATTCTGGGATCTCTCTCTCTCTCTTTTTTTAAATGTAAGCACTCAATGCTATAAACTTTCCCCTTAGAGCTGCCTTCATACTGTAAGGGTCCGGCAGAGCATCGGAGGGAGAGACCACACAAGAGACTGGCTTCATGCAATTGGCAAAAGGGGATTTATTAATTCAGCATGCTGAGATTCCAGGCTCACTCAGGAAGATAGAGCAGCCCAGAGCCCAGAGCAGAGGTCAAGCAGAGCTTAAGTGTCCCGTCCGGCAGGACACATCAACGTGGGCAGCGAACCTAGATGGGGAGGAATGAAGGGACAAGAGACACGAAAGGTGACAGCAAGACAAAAGTTCTGATCAAGCTGCAAACTTTTATTGTTCACACAGGGGTATTTATATGCTGGGGATGGGGAAGCTCT